ATGGGGTGCCTACAGCGTGTTTTGGCGCATGCTCGAGCGTTAAAACCTACGCTCGAGCGGACTGGTTTGTTATAAAAATCCTTCCCTCGTCTCTTCAGTTCAATTTTTCCCCAAATTCGATCTCTTTCTCACCTAGGGCTTCTTAGCGACTTAGTGTGTGTCCTCTCTTGGACTGTTTGATTAGTTTGCTTCCTTCAATACCTTGATTCTCGTACATCTTGGTCGTCTCAGGTATGCATCTCTTCGATTTAGTCTATTTCTTTCTCTTTATTTGTTTTTGATTGTCTCTTGGTCTTCTCATCTTCATTATCAATACTTGTTCGTAGGTTTTTTGAGTCTTGTGTGTCTTGTCTACTTCAGTTTATGGTCTGATTGGGTATTTTTGGTTGTAATGTGCTTATTGTTCTAGAATATTTGAGTTATGGAATGTTGGTATGTGTCTTTGGAATATTGTGTTGTGTTAAGGAATATCAATGCATTTTGTTCTAGTTTTTTTTTTTTATATATATATATATATATATTATCTATCTGGTTATTTGGTTATGGTCACTATGTTCTCCTTGGCTAGTCTAATCTACATGTTGCAATATTGTGATTGCTTTGAGGGTTGGTCATATTGATTCATACTACTATTGGCTGTTTAATTTTGATAGATTTGAATTTGCTACTAATGCTTTGTTTCTGTGGTTTTTGGTTTTCATTCTTGTCATGGGGTAAGGGATTTGTGTTTGTTCTAGTGGGTAATTTCTGGTTTCGTCATGTCCATTTCTAAGCGTAAGAAGTCAACTACCTCTTGCTCCTCCTTTAATACAGACCAGTTTCCCTCGGCTGATAAAGCCAAATTGTTTAGAGAGTCTTCCTTCACGGACTGTTCATCTTGAATGCAATGTTCTACCGAACACCTTTGAGTCCATTCACATTCGTCCTCTCTTTGATCCTTTAGGTGGGGATTTGGTTCTTTCCTTCTCGGGTCGTCAAAATCTTAATTGGGTAAGAGAGGTTTACTATAATATGGAGGTACTTGACGTTGTTGGTCTCTCGTTCAAAACATGGGTCCGGTCTAAGTCTATAACTGTTACTCTTAACCTCATTCGTGAGCTTTTAGGGATTAGTAAAATCTTTCCTATTTTTTATCCTTTTCCTGTGAGACCTACCTGTGATTTCAACGAGGTGGCCACTACTTTATGTGGTGCATCTCGTTCGTGGCTCCCGGGTTCTTTGATCAAGCAAAATGAGCTCCTTCCCCAATTTCACTTACTCAATCTTATTGTGTGTGGCGACATCATTGTAACCACCCACAGCTCGGAAATAAACCAAGAACAAGGTTTTGTCCTTTATTGCATTGCTCACTATCGCTCCATTGACCTTGCCACCTTGATCATTCAAAAAATGGTTGTTGCATTTGAGCGCAATAACCTTGGTCTTCCTTATGGTTGCCTCATTAACCGGCTTCTTGCGAGGTTTAAGGTCCTTTCGTTTGACGAGGATGACTTTGCTTCTCCTTCCTGGCCTTTCACCAAAAAGACTGTCTCACAGAGTCAGTCTCATGTTAGGGGAGTCCCTACTGGGATGGGTAGTTTAGGTACACAGGTGATGCTGCTATGGCCGAGGAGGCAGAGTATGATGCGGCTGCTGCCGGTGAGGGGGAGCAGCCACCATCAGTCCGTACTATCCGAGCCCAGCTCCATCATTTTGAGCAGTCCATTGTCTCATATTTTGATCGTCTGGAGGGCCGGATGGATATCTTCGAGGCCAGGCTTACGGATCTTGAGACTACTGCTGATGCTCGGCTCATCGCATTGGAGGCCTCATCCAGGTGCATTGAGGAGTCCGTTGCACAGTCCTCTGCTCATCTGTCTCAGATCTTGTCTCTTCTACAGATCCAGTCACCTCCACAGCCACCAGCTCAGTGATCTCTATTTTTTGGCTAGTATTTTTTTTGCATAGAAATATCTCTCGTTCTTTATTGCACTGTTTTCTCTATTGTTTTTTTCTCTCTCAGACAAAAAGGGGGAGTGGATATATTTGGTGTTCTTAGAGATATTTGCTGATGTTAGAGATATGGATGCATTATTTTTGGATGGTTATTATTTTTGGATTTTGGATATTGGGTTACTTTTGTTTTGACATATCTATATTTGGCTATTTTTTTATTTATTTATTTTTTAAATATTGAGGTTGTTCATTGGTTTAGTTAGTTTGATTTTTGGGTTGTTTGCTAGGAAAATTGTTTAGAAAAGTTTTGTCTAGGATTTGACAAAGGGGGAGATTGTTAGGACCCTACTCGTTGGCAAATTCCATAGACAAACTTGGGTTTAAATTAAGTTATAATTTTCTTGTTTTCGGTCTTCCTGCTCCAGCGGGCAAAGTGGCGCTCGAGCAGAGATTACACTCTCACAGTATTTTTCGTGTCTACAAAAATTCTGAGTGGTGTGTTTTTAAGCTTGAGCGTGGGATCTTCAACTCAAGCGTGAACCCTGGTTTGGAACACGCTATATAGAGTCCCCGCTTGAGCGTCCATTCCCACGCTCGAGCGGACCTCGCGATCTCAGCCTCTATAAAACCTCAAGTTGCTCCAAGTCTAGGGTTACTTTTCTTAGTTCTTCTTTAAGGGTTTTAAGGTTTTTTTTTTGGAGATATTTTTCTGGTTTTCCTTGATGTTTGATTGAGTTTGAACTCATGTTCTTATAAGCACACATCAAGAAGTTTGTTTGATCTTCTTTTGAGAGTATTTTTCTTCAGTGGAATCCGAAGATTCAAGCACAGAGTAATCAAAGGAGTTTGATGCTATATGTAGTCGGTGGTTCGACAATAGATATTGTGGATTCAACATCAATCTAATCAATTTCGAATGAAGATTGCAGTGAAAGACATACAGAAGATTTGAAGACAAATTGGAAGCGTTTGGGTAATTTGTTTGGTATCTTTGTAATCCTTCTTTCTTTAGTAGTGGATTGATTTGTGGCATTTCACCCGTGGTTTTTTTTTTTTTATCACAATTGAAGATGCTTCAATTGTGGTTTTTCCATGTAAAAATCGTTTGTGTCGATTTATTGTTTTCTAAAACAACAATTTAATTCACTTTCTTATGTGCTTGATGATTTAGATTGTGAGTTTTAATTGATTAGGAATTGAAACAATTAAATCTTGATCAAATCACGAACCACTTAGGTTTTTCATCTTTTGCTACTTGCAGCTCCTGTTCTTTATTGATTGTATTTTTTCTCTTCATCATCTTCAATCAATAAAGTTTTCTTTGCTGATCAAAAAAATAAAAATAAAAATAAAAGTAAAAAGCAAAAGCCTATTTTAACTAGGACATTTCAAATATGCATTCCAAAAGAGCTAGTTAGTAAGAAACCAACCAGCGAAAATAAAACTCCTAACACAATCAAAGCTCAAAAACCCATATTTTTCTTTTTTTTAAAAAAAAATATGGAGTAGAAGAATTATACAAATATATGCAAATATAAAAGAGAGAAACCAAATTAATCTCAAGCACAAGAGAGGCTAACATATGTAGTTAGACTTAAACCTACATCCACAACAAAGAGAATGATTTCACTATTATGAAGAGAACCATTGCTCGAAAGAGCTACAAACAAAGAGAACAATCTCTCCAAACCAAAGATACAAGTTGTCTCACCAAATTCAATTTTTTTTAATTTTTTTTTACCAAGAACATCTCTATAGAAGTTTCATGAATAAACTAACAAACATAATTACAGATTCCAAACAAAAGAGAAAGCTAGACAAGAACAAAACTTCATCTTACTAATCAACAATAAGAGATAATTCTCATCAAGACCTCCAAGAGGCCACCAAGAATGTTGTGAAAACCACCTAACAAGAAACAAAGATCTCCCTCAAGATCACCAAGCAAATATCCACAAAAAGGACTACCAAGTGACCAAAAAGAAGACAAAATTTTGCCGAAGACCCAAAGGCATACTAGAAAAAACCCCCAAATGAAGGCATCCAAGAAGAAGAAAAATTAAGAATAAACTAGTTGAGAAAAATTTTAGAAACAGAAAAGAAAATGACGTGGAAAAGAATTGAAAATGTGGAAGAAGTAAGATTCCAAAGAGATGACTGTGAAAATAAAATAAAACTGTAATATCAAAAAATCAAAAGATCAAAACTTTAAAGGATGACCAGTTGGAAGTTTCAAAAGCGGAGAAGAAATTGATGAGCAAAAAAATTCCAATTTTGGTTGAATATGGTACAAAGAATATGTAAAGAATGTTCAAGATTTTAAGAAACAAAAAATGAATGAATTTTTTGGCACAACAATAATTTTATTTTTGATATAGGTTGCATGAAAGTGAAACAAGCAAGATCAAGCCAAAGAAAAATTCAAGAAGCATGAAACCAAAAATATAGGAATATGATGACCGCAAGCAAGCTCCTGTGATTTTGAAATTCAAGAAAACAAGATTCAAGTGAAGCACATCCATGTTATGACTGCGTTAAATTTTTACCCAAGAGGACTAAATGATATTACTAAGGCATAAAACATAACATCAACTTTTTTTTTTTTTTTTTTTATCAACATTACTGGTTTTTTGGTGCTAGTAATAAATAAAAGCAACTCTATCAAAGCAATGCAGCTAGCAACAATTAATCTAAGAGTTATAAGTAGTGTTTCACAAATATTAAAAGAATTTACTTTCCATTATGATTTTTCTCCCCAACAAAAACAAAAAAAGTTCAACTTTTGAAACATTGCATGGTTGGTTTCATAAAAAAGAAAAAAAAGAAAAAATATCAATCTTAGGGTTCAAGACAAGTGCCATATCATGATAGTTGAGATATGTTTCCGAAGCATTGATGCTATTTTCGCCTAGGTCCTGTTTTGTTGATGTATTTTGTGTGTACTCCTTGGGCTAATTTTTACATCAATAAATCTCTTCCTTTTTTTGCCAATCTAAAAAGTGTATATATATATATATATATCACGATGTAGTTCTAAGAGTACTCTCCAAATAGAAAACACATTGTTACTTCGAATTCAACTCTCGATTAATCATGTCGGTCAGTTTTTGTTGTAGCGTAGATTGATCAATGCATATTGGGTCAATGCCCTGCTAGTATAACCCATATGGTAAAAATGAACTTAGACAAAACCCTAAAACTAGAAATTGAAATTAAGAGGTGGTTTGGAATGTTCTAAATAAGTGTATTTTTTTATTTTTTCATAAAAAAATGTGTAGAAAAGTAGAGAGGAGATGTTGATAGATGTTGATGGATGTGACCCAAATAAGTGTATGTATGCAAAAAAAAAAGTACACTTTTTTAGTGCATGCCAAACACCTACTAAATTTTTTTTAAGAAGAAATACCTCGGATCTAATTGTGTGAAACAACCTATCATTCGCTTCAGTGGAAACATAGCTAATAACTTCAAGTCCTTCATGAAGAAGTACTTGAAGAACTTTTGATAGGGGAAACACTTCCTCAGTGAAGCCACCAGTGATCAGAACCTCCACACCAACCTGACATGGGCTGACTGTCACACTATAGGGCAAAAAATCGTTTGAGCTTGTACTTGCCGCTAAAAGAACTCTTGAATTGGACATATTTTTAAGCTTATGTCTCTTGATACTCAGTTCTTTGATGTTATTCTCTATGTGTTTGATATAATTCACACTTTCCTGAATGTGATCCGATATTGAACGCTTTCCCTAAAACAACATCCGTTAACATAACCCTCCAATAACCCAATTATTCAAAGGTAATAATAAAATCTTTAGAACAGGAGAGAGAGAGAGAGAGAGAGAGAGAGAGAGAGAGTTAGTTTTCTTTTAGAAATTCAAGAGAGAAAAGTCAGTGCAGTAATCATTCTTCTCATACTTATATATGGTAGTTAAAGTTCTAAGTGAACAACAATATGGGAAAATAGAAGAAAATATGATTCATCACCTAGATATATTCAAGAGGGAGTAGGGATCGATGCGATGCATAAAGGCTATTCATTACTCGCCTTCTTTTCTGTTCAATCTCTTTGTTAATGATGTGGAATAGTAATATCCACTGATTAATTATTAGTACTGTACGGGGAGCAAATATTCCGGCGTGCCCGTATTCCTTCCTTCCAAGCTCCGTCGATGTCCGATCACCTGCGAGCCAATAGGGGTGAGCTACCCGGCGGTGTGTGGCCGGAAATACCCTCCGACGATCAAATTAGCACACACCTTAGAGGGAATAGAGAGAAGGGAGAGAGTGTTTGAGTGTGAGAGTTTCTTACAGATATGTTCGTGTGTCGCGTATGGGGGGCGCAGACATGCCTATATACCTTCTGAGCCCCTTACCCACTCCCAGTCATCTCCTGACACGTGGCTCTGCTATCCCATCTGTCAGCATAGACCTTGCTGAACATCACCTAATCTCAACTGCCTGACTTCACAGCTGGAGCTCGGCAGCCGAGCTGCTCTACCACGGCCATGCCATGCTTCATACCCATGCGCCTAACCGGACAAACACATGGAGGACCGGGCTAGGCGGCATCCCGGCAAAGCCTAGCCCGGGTACCTCCTTTGGTCGGCCTTCCTGCCGGTCAATCAACTACCTCGGCTGACCACGCCTTTCCGGGCACCGGTCACTTGGTCTGTCTGGCTTCGACCATCCTCGGACCGAGCATCCTGGTCCAACCGGTCACTTCCTGGCCGAGCAGTTTCTGTTCGGTCCGGGGTGGCACACACTCAGTCCAAACTCTGCCCGGCACAACTCTGCCCGGCCCAAATCTGTCCGGCACAAATCTGTCCGGCACAACTCTGTCCGGCCCAAATCTGTCCGGCACAACTCTGTCCGGCCCAAATCTGTCCGGCACAACTCTGCCCGGCCCAAATCTGTCTGGCACAAAGTCCATATCATTAATCTCCCTCTCATGATTCATCACCTAGATATATTCAAGAGGGAGTAGGGATCGATGCGATGCATAAAGGCTATTCATTACTCGCCTTGTTTTCTGTTCAATCTCTTTGTTAATGATTTTTCACTTGTTATCAATTATTTTCTCACTTTTATCATCCTCTGGAATGGCTACTAATTTTTGCCTCATTTTCCTTACCGTGTCCATGGTTATGATCAGATCTTGTTTATTGTCAGTGTTTTCTTCATAGAGAATAGAGGGGATCTGAAAAACTAGCTCATCATGATGACTTTGGTTGAAAAGAAACATTTGTCCAAAGAAGCTTTATTTGGTTCTTAATTATGTATGTCAATGGAGGCAGATACAGAAAGAGATATGTTTGTTACGATATCAAATCTTCATGGGCTTGAGATGCAAGATTTGCCTGCAAATCTCTTCACAAAATGGTGATTGGGGAAGTACAAAATGACCTCACCAACCATTTTTTAAACCTTGTTTGTGAACACTGTAGCTATGTGCAAGTTCCACATTCTCATTTGGTGGACCAATATGTTTCAACCCTTTATCATTATAGTCTATTTTGCTATAGTCATGTTACCCTTTTAATATTTTCTAGGTTAATTACATCTTTAGTCTTCAAAGTATAAATCTTGTCATTTTCATTTCTAATATTTATTTTGTGTTAATATGATCTATAGTGTATAATAATGTTTCAATTTGGTCCCCAACGTTTCAATTTAATCTCTCAATCTATTTTTCGGAATAGACGCGATTTAAACATTGGGCGACTAATTGGATTGGGTAACTAATCCAGGTAGGAAATCAACTTGGAAGCCAATATTGGATAAAGTGGGATCCAGGTTGGCTGGGTGGAAGAGAAGACTCATTTCCTTTGCAGATAGATTAACTTTGATTAAGTTTGAATTGTCTAGCATTCCTATTTATTATCTATCCATGTTCAGAATGCCTAATGGAATGGTTAGAGAGTTTGAAAGGCTTGAAGCTTCTTTCCTATGGGTTGGGAATGGTTTAAAGAGGAAAAAGAGCTGAAGTATCAAAAAATATGAATCAAGGTGGTCTGGGGATTAGAAGAATTAAGGATGTCAATGGAAGTTTACTGATTAAATGGTGGTGGAAATTTAGAAGTGAAGTAAATGCTCTGTGGAGAAGATTGTTGCGCAGCAAGTACATGATTGAGAAAGATAAATGGCTTCCACCTGTGAACTCATTATCTAGACTTTGTAGAATATGGAGTGATGTTCTTGCAATTGCAGGTCATAATCAACATCTAGTGGAGTTCTATTTGGAGATGTTTCAGATAAAGGTTGGAAATGGGAGTAGAATCAAGTTTTGGCATGATAATTGGGTTGGAAATAGGTGCCTTAAAGATGAGTTTCCTAGACTTTTTAGTTTGTCAAATGATAAGGACGGCACACTGTCTAATTTTTCTGAGAGGTAATCCAGTTTGGAGTAGTGGAACTTCTCTTTCAGAAAGAATTTATATGATTGAGAAAAGGTGGAGGTCACTAGTTTGGTTGCAGGTTTGAGGGAGGCCCATTCATTAAGACTTGATGTAGAAGGCTGTCTTATTTGGAATGGTTCTAATGGTGGCAGCTTCAAGTTATTTGATATCTATAAGTGTAGACACCCCATTTTTGACCGTCCTAAAGACTTGGACGTCATCGTTTGAGTGCTCGATGATTGCGCATGTTCGCACTCGTTTGGAGTCCCAGGGAGTTTTCAGCTGCGCGCCTTGCTCCTGAGTCTCTGAACTCTCTTGGTTTTGTGCCTGTTTTAAGCCAAACCTTGGTGTCCCTTTTTCCTGGAGGGAGAAACAGTGGTGTAGACCCCTTTTCTCCTGTGTAGACTACTTTTCTTCCATGCCAGCCACTTTTGGTGGACGGTCAGCTAGGGTGAGTGGTCGGTCGACCCTCTTAAGTGGTCGGCAGCATGGCACCACCTTCTCCTCTCTTGGGAGACCCCCTTTTTGCCCTGTCGACCAGATGCTTCCCCTGTCGACCACCCGAGGTGGTCGGTCGACTAGGTGGGGGGGTCGGTCGACCACTTTGAGTGGTTAGCGGCCATTTTTCACTTTCTGTAGATATTTTTGGTGCCAGCTGTGCCAGCTGTTCGGTACAGAATGCATCCTCCCTACACGTGTATGGAGGGATTCAAGCAAGCTTTGGCTTGCATTTCTATATAAGGGGAGGTGCCTCCCCCTTCTCAAGGGTTCAGAATTTTTAGAAGCAAAATTCACTCTCTCTCTAGAATTCTCTCTCTCTCTCTCTCTATATATATATATATTGTGCTTGAAAGTACTTAAAAGTGGGAATTGTTGGTGCATTTGCAAAGGGACTCTTGATCAAACACCTCAACCTTGAGGCTAAGATACTTGGGAGCCTTATTTGAGTGGTTTTGACTTGGTTTAGCCTTAGAAGTTGCTGGTTTTGTAGTTGTGCTTCAAGGATGAGTAATTTCCTCTTTTAAGCTTATTTTTGCACACAAGCTTAGCCACCTTTGCATGCTATTTTAGGCCTTGCTTTCAACTACAAAAACCTTTGGTTTAAAGTGCTTAAAAAGGTTGTTTAAGGCTTTGTTTGAGTTAGGGGTGTTTCTCCCTCTTTTATGCCTTGTTTGCTAAGCTTCTTGCCATCTTTTAAAGCTTTTGAAACCATCTCTTTTTGGCCTTCTTACCACTGAAACTTAGAGGAATTTCAGTAGTGGAAATGTGGTTTTGAGGTCCCAAATGGGTGGGGGTGGTCCCCCCTCCTCTTTTATTATTTGCATGTGTTGATGGCCCATTGAAAGAGCATGTGTTTCTACTTCTTAGTGGCTTTGTTTGGGCTCATTTTTGTGAATTTTCAGACCTGCCATAACTCTATTTTGGGCTATCTTAGCCACCTCTTGCTTGCTTCTTATACTTGTAGAGTAATCCTACTTGTAGCCTTACAAAGTAGCATGTCTTTGTGCTTTGAATTGGCTCCATTTCAGCATGTTTTTAGCCATTATTTTCCATGTCATAACTCTGTTTTGGGTTGGTTTCGTTGCCTCTTGCATGCTCCTTGCACTTGTAGTGCAATTTTGTTCACTAGCCTAGTGTATTTGGTGTTTTAGCCTATTGATCTAGCATGTGTATGCTCTACTCCAGAACATTTTTGGCTATGTTTTAGCATTCTTTAGGTCTGATTTGAGTGGTTTTGGTCATGCATGCTTGGCTTTGCATAGCTATAGTGTATTTGGCTTTGCTAGCCTTGCACTTTGAGACCTCTAGCGTCTCATATTTGAGCTTTTTGCATGGCATAGCATCATTTGGTATGTTATTTCAAACCATATACCTCCGTCATATTCTTGCATTTATTGCCCTTTCGTTGTGTTTGAGGTTTGGGCCTTATGCTTCACTTGTGAGCCAACTTGCATGCATGTTTGTTCAAGCTTGAGGGCTATCATTTCAGCATGTTTTGGCCTCTGATTTGGTATGTTCTAGGTCTGTCCATAGCTGGTTTGACCATTTGTGCTTGATATTGCATGCCTCTTATGTGATGTTCTTCACTAGCCTTAGTGTTTTTGGCCTTTAACATGTCTTGCATGCATGTCTTGCATCATTTAGCGTCTTTTGCATGTCATTTCAGTGCTAAAATGCATGCCATTGCATCCCACTAATTCACTCTTTCAAAACTAGAGGACTCTCACTTTTGGACTTAACCGATTAAGGACTAATTGGTAATCTAAAATGTGTAAACAAAATGAATCAAGTAAAACGTGGCCAAGATAAGCATGTTGTTTGTATTGCATGTGTTTGGATCGGACGTTAATCCAAACACGACAAATGTGGGACGTTTCATACTCATAGTGATGAAATGTGTCACATTTCTCGGTCGCCAACGCTCTTGATTGTGTATGATAGGGTGGAGGCCTTTCGAGTCTTATGTGTGTATTCATTGAGTTTTGCGCAAGCTTGATCCTTTGGCCACCATGCATTGAAAATGCTTGGTTGACGGCTCGAGAGTCAAGTGCCATACTCCTTTGAGCTTAAGATATCATAAGGAGTGTGGAAATGCATACATTTCCTTTCAAATACACTGTCTTGCCTCTGTCCGTGCTCTGTTGCAGCAACAGGAGGAATTTCAGCCTTCAAGGTGTTCTTGAGATCAGAAAGAAGCAATATGGAAATCGGTGTAATTTTCAAAGGTTCAAAAGAGTGCAAACAAAGGCGTCTTGAGGCAAGGCGGTGGATTTCCGAGAGGACGCAACCGAGCATGCATATCTCCTTCGCCCGCGAGGCCATTTATCGCTTTTGTTAGCTAGTTGTAGTTGATTACCTATGTTGTAATTAATTTAGCTTAGTGCTTTGTAATATTCTAATTAGCTTAGATTAGCTAGTTATTTAATTTGGTTTGTAATAATTAATTAGCTAGAATAGTTAGTTAATTAGTTGGTTTATAATAGTTAGCTTAATTAGCGTAGCTAGTTAGCTTTCATTTTATTCGGACTCTCCGTCGAGAGGGCAAATGTTGTAATAAGTGTGCGTGTGTGTGAATGTTTTCCAACCCCACGTCTTTCTCCCTTTTACTTATCCACTCTCGGTGGTTAGTTTAGGGCATATTTCAATTAGCATACCTTATGCTTTGCATGTTTGCATCATCTATTTGTCTTGCATGCACCGGGTTCGGCGCATCATTCAAACCGCATCGTATTTCAATACATACTTGAATACTTGTTCCAAAGCATGGTATGAAGTGTTGCATTCATATGCCATCTTAGATAGTCGGGCCTACTTAGTTGCATTTTGCATGTGTTGCATTAGGCATTGTTGACATAGCTAGGATCATGCATTGATTACTAACTAGCTTCTGTTTCAGCTCGAAGTACACTGTAAGTGTTTATGCTTTAGCATGCTTGCATGCGTGTAAGTGATTGCTATGACAGCATGCTTGCCATGAGGCTATGTGCTTAAGTGTTTAACTGCCTGAATGCCTATGAATGAAGGCTTCATTGCTTGAATTGGGACAATTCATTAAATGTGCGTTTTAAGCCCACTTCTTTATGGCAAATCATGTTTTAAGCCCACTTGAGGGTGGCAAATCCATGTTTTAGCCTACTTGCGAGTAGCATCTTCAAACCATTTTCGAAAAACAAACATGAGATGTTTTGTTTCAAATTGAGTGATTTAGTCTATATTTGAATGCTGTGCGCATCACATAGTAATTCTAGATTAATAACCAGAATAAGAACACATGTGTTTTCAAAAACAACATATCATGTTAGTAGAGGCCGATCTTTGATCGGGCGAGCGGGGTGCTCATTTCAGG